GAGAGGAGGAGAGAGGAGGAGGAGAGAGGAGAGAGGAGGAGAGGAAGAGAGAGGAGAGGAGGAGAGGAGGAGAGAGGAGAGGAGGAGGGGAGGAGTGGAGGAGGACAGTGGGAGAGGGTGAGAGGAGGAGAGAGAAGGGGAGGAGAGAGGAGAGGAAGAGAGGGGAGGAGGAGAGGAGGAGAGAGGGAGGAGAGGAGAGGAGAGCCCTGGAGAGAGGTGAGAGAAGCCAGCGAAGGCGGAGGGACCCGACAGGAGCCTTGGAGGGAAGCCAGGGAGGGATGGAGCCAGAGAAGCTCCCCCAGGGGAGACAGGCAGAGCAGGGGGGACCAGGGGTCCCTGGCAGGGGGCTGGCGGAGTCGGGGAACCCCAGGTTGGAAGAAGGTCAGAGAAAGGAGGAGAATAGAAAGGCTGTGGCGGAAGCTGGCTCAGAGGGGGGGTCAGGGTCACAGCCGTTGGTAAATGGGGGGGGGGAGACTGAGGGGCCCCCTGCTGCCTCCTGAAGCCCCTGCACATATAGCGCCTGAGCTGGCTCCAGCCCCGCCCATGTCGGGAGCTGGGAAGGAGGGGAAAGTTAATTTGAGGGTCTCTGCGTTGCACAGCTCCAGAGAAGAGCAGCCCCATCCTCATCTAGCTGACAGTCCTTTTGGAATTGTACAGTGATCAGCCTGTGCAACCTTGCATAGCAGCCCTGGGTGACAAGACACAAAGACGCTGCAGTGTTTAACTGCCCATAGGCTCTCAGGGTCCAGGAGGGTTCCTGGTGGGGACAGGAATTGATCTGAGCAGGGCTCTGGGTCTGGTCAGGTGTCCACAGGAGGGGAAGGGTAGAGGATGGCGTGTGCTGATGTGCAGAGGCAGAGGAGAGGGAGGAGCCGAGGCACCCAGGCCAAGTCTAGTGGGGCCTCCTAGTGGGGCCTCCGCGGCAGACAGAGGAGCTCACCCTCCATCCAGAGGCCCAAAGGCCAAGGCTCACTGCCTCCCCGTCCCCAGGCTTCGCAGCCTTGAGTCACCCCTTAGCCTTCACCTGGCCTGGGCCTGCCCAGGGGAGGCTCCGCCCGCTGGTTGTCAGGAAACTGAGGAGGATGTCCCTCAGCGGTCACAGGGAGTCGGAACCGGTGCTGGCGCGGCCCGGCCAGCGCCCCTCTGCCCGTCCCCCCTCGGCCTCCCCAGCCCGCAGGCCTCCCCCTGCCTGTCCTATCTGCAGGGACAGGGCCGCTCTGAACTTGCTTCTCACCTCCTTTCATCCCGCTTTGCCGGCCCTTCCCTGGGGCTCCTGAGAAGTGAGGCTCAGAGGAGCTGGAGACTCCACTTCAACACGCGGACACTGGCCAGCTCCCTCCCGCCGGCGCCCGGGGCAGGGGCGTGGGGCTCTCCGACTGTGGGCACGAGCCTGGAACCAGAGGCCGGTCAGACACGTGCTGCCAGGCCTGGCCTTGTCCCCAGCTCCCGGGCCAGGTGTCCCAGCTCCCAGCTCCAGGGCCAAGGATAGGTAACGGGAATGTTCCGTGCAGCGGGGACAGGATCCCTGCCTCGCAGAGTCGGCCTCCTCCTGGACGAGTCGGCCAACAAGTGCCCCAGAGGAGCTCTGAGTCGGGGGCAGGGGGCAGGGCCACACTGGACATGAGAAAGGAACAGAGATCAGAATGACAGAGTCGCCCCCCCATGCCAACCCACGCAGGGGCCCCTCCCCCAGGAACAGGAAGCTCATGGCCCTGGGGCAGGCAGGAAGCTCCCTGGTGTGTTCCTGGAAGTAAAGAAATGGAGACAGGCCCTGGGAGACTTTGCATGATTGGTGGGGTGCAGCGGGCACCTGGTTACCATAGAGACGCCTCGTCCTCCTCGTTGTTGCACTCACCCCTCAGGAGGTCTTACATCCATTTTACAGTTGAAGAAACTGAGGGTCAGAGAGGGGCAGCGACTTGCCAGAAAGGGAGAAAGGACTGGGATTTAACCCAAGGCTGACTGCTTCCAGAACGCGGCTCCTGCCGTCCTACTCCCCGCCCCCGCGTCTGTTCTTTGTGGTTAGTGCGCTTCTTAAATGGGTGCTGTGCCCGCGCCCACGCACACACCACAGAGATGGGTTAGACGGGGCCGAGGGAAGGCTGGGCGTCCGTGTGCACAGGTCCGGGTTCCGGGGGCCTGGCTGGGGCGGGGGCTTGAGGGGCTGACTGAGGAGAGGGACTCCAGCATCAGGCAGGAGGGAGCACAGGACCCAGGTTTGGACCAGGGAGAGGGTGCTCCGCCTGGGCCTAGGATGAGGGGCGGTGGCCGGTGGCCGCAGCAGGACGGAGCCCGGGTGGGGTTTGTTGTGGGCTCTGAAGGAGCAGGAGGTCAGCTAGCGAACTCACGGCAGGTGTGGGGGGAGGTGAGGACAGAGGGACACCCGGGGACAGGCTGTGAAGGACCCTGAATGTCAGGTGAAGACGTGAGACTTTATCCTACAGGCGTGGGAAGCCTTAGAAGGTTCTAGAGGGAGGGGAAGTGCTCAGATCTAGGGATCAGGCAGCTGTGCAGACAGACTGGCCGTCCAGGAGCCCAGCCCCGTTCCCACCAGTCCCCGGGACTCAGCCAGGCGTGGTGGTGGTGGCACACACCTGGAATCCCCGCGGCTTGGGAGGTTGAGGTGGGAGGATCGCCAGTGCAAGACCAGCGCCCAGTCAGTCACTTAGTGAGACCTGTCTCAGAGACAAAGAGGGCTGGGCACGTGGCTCAGCCAGGGTGCCCCTGCTCAATCCCAATTCCAGACCAGACCAAACCAAGACCGGGAATGTCTCCTTGGGCCAGAGACAGGGAGCACTGTTCCAGCCGGCAGTGCAGCCGGGGGGGGGTTGGGAATTGGGGGAGACCTGGGCCCAATCACTGCGGCGTGGAGCGTCAGTCTGCCCACCTCTGAAACGGGCATCGCGGTTGTCCTGGGCTCACCCCAGGGGCCTCCTGTGCGCCCAGTTCTGGGCTCCGTGCTCCAGGTGGAGGGAGGAGTCAGTGGTGAGCACCTCCCACGTTCTTGGTGCCCTGGACATGCTGTCCTCCCTCGTTCTGCAAGCAGTGCCCACCACACCCAGCTTTCCAGGCCTGGGGAGGGGCGCTGAGTCAAGGACAGAGGGGACTGAGCAGAGAGGCACCCTTGATGGGTGCCACAGGCAGCACTTGGTGTCTGAGCAGATTTCCGCCCCTGGCAGCCTGGGGGTGGGGGGGCTGTGCCGTTCAGCCTGCTGTGTGCACAGTGCGCACAGCAGGACACCAGTCTGTGCCATTAACTAGCCCTTCATGACCTAGAGCAAAAGCATCTGGCTTCTCTGAGCCTCGGTTTCCTCATCTGTAAAATGGGAGTGGGGAGGCCACCTAGGAGGATCTGAGGGGCCCAGGCAGGTGAAGCCCTAAAAATAAAAAGCAAGAACCGACCCATGTTTCACATTACACAGGCTTTATTGTGTCTAAACCTCACAGCCAGCCTGTGAGCAAAGTCCTAGTTCCATTTTTAAGAAAAGGAAACTGAGGAACAGAGAGATTAAGTGTCTTGCCCAAAGCCACACAGCTGGTTCCAGACTAGGCAGAGGGGCCTCAGGTCCATACACCTTCTCAGGCCTCCCTTGCACACTTGGGCCAACACACATGTGTCTGCATGCGTGTGCATGCACACATGAGGCTCTGCGTACCATATTCTCACGCTGTCCCTCCCACCCCCAGCTGCACCAGTTCCTGGCTGAGTAAACGAGAAGCAGGAGGGCGGGATCTAAGCAGATCCTCTGCACCCACAGCCACCCAGACACAGATGCACGCTGGGTGGGGGACTCCTGCGCACCCTGCCAGATCTTTCTGAAACATAATTAGAACGACAATTGCTTGCATCGTGGGGTAATTTTCCTGGAACTCAGCTGGACGTCCTGTGGGCTGTCCATCCTCCCAGCAGCTTGAGAGGCAGGATCAACGTCTCTGTTAAGGCTCAAGGCGGAAGTGACTTATCTGGGGACAGCATGGACCTGGCTGCAGACCCAGGGTGGAGCGGCTCCCTCTTGAGCCTTTGCCATTCCACACACACACACACACACACACACACACACACACTCATGTCACACACACACACTTTCCACCCACACAGACCAGACGTGCAACTCGTGCGTGTACCTGCACGTGAGGTGCACCAGCCCCCTGCACCCCACACCTGCCAGGCCACAGTCCTTGTCACATTCGAAGACCTCCCACCCTGCCCTCCCCCTCACTCTCGGGATCTCTGGAACAGAGACACCTGGGTCCAGCCAGCCAGCCGCACTGACCTTAGCCCAAGTCTCCACAACGGTCCATGGCACCTGCCCCTTGGCCTGGGGCAGCTGTCTCCACTTGGGTCCGGCTCAGCCTTTCCTCTCCAGGAAGAAACATAAGAGAAACACTGGCGGTGGGGGTGGAGAAGGGAGGGACGGCAGTGGGCACCCTCCTGCCAGCTGAGCCGCTCCCCAGCCCCGCCCTGGCCTGGACCCTCCCTCCACCCACAGAATCAAGAGTTCCCTCCAGCCGGGCCATGCTCAGAGCCACCTCCTTCCTCCTTGAGACCCAAACTTCTGACAGGGCCAGGCGACTGGAGGCAGGGGGCAAAGAGTCCCTAATGTAGGTCCAATTCTGCAACAGAATCACTGTGCAGCCCTGGGCATGGGGCACGGCCGGCCCAGAGGGCGACTTTGTGTAAATTAGATAAAGCCCCAGCCCACCTTGAGCAGGTACTCCTGGGCCCAGGACCCAGGGCTTGGCAGGCAGGGCGACGGCTGCAGTTAATCCCTCTTCCCCACTTCAGCCGGTCAGTCCACCTGCACAGCCGCCTCTGTATCCCTAGGTTTGACAGGTTTTCTCTCTGAGCCTCAGTGTCTTCATCTGCAAAGTGGGGAGATCACATCGGTCTCCCTTGCCTTTTTGTCCCCTTGCCTCTTTGTCCCCATGCCTAGCACAGAGCAGTACAGAGAAGGCACCTGGAGTGGGGGGTGGCTGGGGAGAAGGCCAGCTGCAAGCCAAGGGTGCTGTAGGGGAGGCGTCACCATCTTGTGTCTGAATCTTCCAGCTCAGTGGGACCCAGGCCCGCCAGGGGCAGGAAGATGGTGGGCTCAGCAGCGTAGGGACAGGAAGGAGTGTTACAGCAGGGATTCGGGAGACAGGCTTCTTAGGCCCACTGTGTGCATGTGCACAGCCCTTTACAGTTTGCCCTGTGCCTTCACTCCCAACGAGTAAGTATGAAAAGAATAAGTAAGGACTGCCACCAAGGCCAGCTCCTCCTTGCCCCACACCTGAGTTCTTTCCAGACGCAAAAGGAGTCTTGTCAAAGTCACAGACGCAGATGAGCGATCCCAGCTGACCGCTCTCTGACCCCTGCAGCCCCACGGGGTCACGGTCTCCATCAGGTGGAGAAACTGAGGCCCAGAGATTTGGGGCTGCGCAGCCAAGAGCCCATTGAAGGGGCATCTCAGGCTTTGGGCTCCCAGCAGCCAGTGCTTCTGGTGGCCTCTCCTCCCTGGGACTCGGTGGCCCTCTCTGGGCTTTGGGGGAAGGGCCCTCCGCCTGGGGGAGGGCTGCTTTGTCCGGGCTGCACAATGGGCCTGCGCCTGGCTCTGGAGGTCTTTGTCTGAGGCCGGCTGTGCGCCCCGCCGCGTTATCAGCGCCGGGAAGCGGGGCCGGCGCTGGCGGGGCCTCTCTGGGCCGCCGCCGCCCGAGACATGTGTTGGACACGGGCCTTTCAGGCCGGGAGCCGCCGCACAAAGGCCCGGGAAGAAGGCGGAACAAAGGGCTTTTTCACGCGGCAACTGAAAAGCCGCAGATTAGCGCGGAGCTGCGCAGGCGGAGGAGCCCTGGACCTGCGCGGCCCTCCCCGCGGCCGCCCGCCACCCGACCCCGGAGAAGCCACAGCTGCCCCCGCTCCCACTCCCAGCTCTCCCCCAGCCCCGCGGGACACGCCAAGCCCTCGAATTCGGCGCCCGAGGGTCCCCGCGCCCAGCCCTCCCGCTTCCCCTGGGTGACTCTGCACCTTTGACCCTTCCCTGGGCCATTTCATCCGCCGCTGTCCCCACTGCCCCAGTGCCTTCCCCAGCCCTTCGCCAGGGGCCACCTATTGTGGAAAGGCGAGGCTGGGACCTGGGACCTGGGACCGTGCCAGGCTCGCTGCTTGTTCTCAGAGGCAGCGACCGTGGGGTGCAAGTCACCAGGCTCGGGAAGACTGAGGGACAGCTGGCCCAGGCCACCCGCGAGGCCGACCCAGGGCTCCCTCCCTAACAGGGTCTCTGCCCTCGGTATCTGGGGCAGGCGGAGGGAAGGGTCCGTGCGCCGGGCTCCACGGGCCTGGGGCACCTTCAATCAGCCCCGCCTGCCTTCCCCAGGTACGCCATCGACCGCGCCTCGGATCTGGACCAGATCTTCGATATTGATGAGGACACAGGCGCCATCGTGACCGGCAAGGGGCTGGACCGCGAGACCGCAGGCTGGCACAACATCACAGTGCTGGCCATGGAAGCCGGTGAGCTGGGTGACACCACCAGGGACACACAGGGCGGGCAGAGGCTGAGGGGCGGGGCCAATGGCTGGGGCGGGGCCAAGATTGAGCTGTCAGTCAAAATCTATGGGGCGGAGCCAGTGTTGAGGGCGGGGCAAAAGGTAAGAAACTGGGCAGAGACCCCAGCTGAGCAGAGGTGGTGGCAAAAGCTGGTCCGCGGAAATGAAGGTCCCAAGTCAAGGGGATAGGGCTGGTTTTGAGACCAGCTTTTTTCTCTTTTATTGAGCAATTACTTTCCAAGCCCTGGTGCAGGGCCTGGGAACACAGCCTTGGCAAGACAGAAAAGTACCTGTCCACAGCAAGGCCATCAGCAGGCTGAGAGAAGGGGTGTGCATGACGTCAGATGAAGTGAAGTGCTAAGAAAGAACAAGGGGAGAAGAGCAGGGCAGGGCCTTGAAGGAAAAGGGGCGGAGTTTCTGGAAGACTTTTCTGCAAAGACCTCAGTAAAGTGAGGGCCACGTGCTGCTTCTAGAAGAGCAGCCCAGTGCAAAGGCCCTGAGGTGGCAGCCGCCGCTGGGGAGCAGCCAGGGGGCTGGCATGGCTGTCGAGGGTCACAGTCGTTAGGGTCACAGTAGTTGGCCGCTATAGAGTCTTTAGACTCTGCTCCCCGTGAGACAGGAGTCACAGGAGGGACTTGAGCAGAGGAGGAACTCTGGTGGCCTCGCCTGGGGCAGTGGCAGATGCAGGCTGGAGATCAACCTGACATGGAGGTGAGAGACGGGGAGGGTCAAGGGTGACTCAGGTGCTGGCCTCGTTTCCCACACAGCAGACAGCTTGGCACACTGAGAAGTTTCTGGAACAGTGTGTGTGTGTGCACATCAATGTGTATGTGTGAGAGAGAATTGGGCGCAGCTGGGGGCCTGAGTTATGGGGTCCAGAAAAGTGAGGCTGTGGAGGTGAGGAGCACAGGGCGCTGGGACTCGTGGGGCACCAGGAGAGGGCACAGAAAGTGCCGCCAGTCCTCCGCCTCCACCTGCTCTCCAGTGCGCATGCGCGTGCGCCCCAGGAGCCCACCGAGCCGCCAGGGGCCGTCACATTGCCCCGCGGGTTGCAGGTGGCAGCTCTGCTCTGCCGGGGCCCAGCTGCCCCTCCCGACTGCCGGTGCCTCGGGCTTCCAGCCCCACCAGCCCCTTCCAGGGCCGAGGAAGTCCCTGAGCTGAAGTTCCTTCCTCTCTTTCAACTGCGGTTTAAAAGAAAATACAAAGCGGGCTCCGACCTCAGCCTGCTGCTCCAGAGCCTTTGAATCCACTCCTCCTCCCCTTGGAAGGGAGACGACAAAGGTGGCTGGAGAGGAAGTGGCTGGACTGGGGGGGCCGGGCCCTCCCCTCCTCCCTGAACCCGCTCCCCGGGAGCCCTGAGGCTCAGAGCCGGGACGACAGCCTGGCTGGGGGAGACCCCTCCTCTCCCTGCCCACCGCAAGGCCCCCCAGCCTGTCACCTGCCTGACGGGCCACCACCGGCAAGGCCCTTCTTGGGTCAAGCATGGCGCTCCCCCCCAGTGGGTCTCTTTCAGAAAGGGCCGCCCTCGGTGGAGCCGCCACTTGACAGATGAAGTGGGGGGGCCCCACCCCTGCACACCCGCGAGACAGGCTCCGCTTACTGCCTTCTGGGCTCCCGCTTTCTCCGCTACTTTCGTTGAATCCTGATCAGTAGCATGACCAGCGCCCGTTTTACTGTTGAAAAAAATTGAGGCTCAGAGAATTAGGAGATTGGGCCAAGGACAGCCGTGGCAGAGGGGGACCTGGACGGTTTCCTGGCACTCTGCCCTCAGAGCCCCCGCATCCCACCACCAACCCCAGCCACTAGCCACCGTGGGGAAGGAACACTGGCCCCTGCCTCTGAACCACCACCCACTGGCCCTGCCCAGCCCTCCCCCAGGTGCTGACCAATGGGGAAATGAGTGGTTCAACCCACAGAGAGTGGGGAGGGCTAAACAGGAGGAGGAAACAAAGGCTTGGCCCCCTGCTTGGGACCTAATAAATGCTCACCTAATGTCTGATGTCTGATGGCCTGGACTCCGCAGGTGACTTGAGCATGGACTCCGGGCACTTTATAGAGATGTGTCCAGATTCCCAGCCCCGGCCCGACTCCAGAGCCGCCTCTCTGCCAGACCCCCTTCCCCTGGTATTTCCTTGGTGCTGGCACTAATCAAGAGCTGTGGCAAGTGACAAACCCACTCTACCTTCTTGCCACCTCCAGGAGATGAGTACAAAATTAGTGTCCCCATTTTACGGATGAGAAGACAGAAAGAAGCCCAGGGAGGAACAGCAATAGCCCCCGAAAAACAGGGCAAGTCCATGCAGGGCCAGGCCTGACCCTAGGTCTCCCGCCCCCAGGAGCCAGTCCGAGCCCCAGCTGCAATGCCGCCTGGCCCTGTGTCCTCCTGTAGAAGTGTCCGTTTGTCATTCTCAGAAACAGAGGGATGGTGGCAGGGGGGGTCACAGCAGCCCCACCTGCTCCCAGGCGTGACAAACACGAGGTGACAAGAATCAGAGGGGAAATATTTATACACAGCCGCGGAGCTTGGTGCGCACCTCAGAGAATGTCGCCCTGGGCCGGGAGCCGCGCCTGTCATCCCAGATTACCTCAAAGCCTCCCAGCCACTTAGTATGCCGGCCCCCCGCGCCCGAACTTCTGAGTCATCCATTCTGCCCATGCACACCTCCTTCCACTGACATTATCTTTAACGTTTTGTAATCATGAAATATTAATGACCGATATTGAATTTAAAGTACAATTTGTGTCTGAATCCTTCGGTGGAAAGGGCAGTTGTAAAGGGACCGTCTTCAAAGAGGCTGGGCGGAGTGGGGGACTTGGAAAGGCGCACAGGGCAGGGCAGGCCCAGGGACCGCATCCAGCAGTCTGGAAGGACTCCGGCTAGCTGACCAGGACAGCAAAGCGTTAACCTGAACCAGCCCCCTAGGAGCTCCCCCGTCTGGGTCACCCCAGCCAAGTCACATCTCACAGCACTGGGCATTTCCCTTCCTGCCACCGAGCGGGCTGCAATTTACAGATGCATGTATCTGCATATTTAGTGACTCCCCTCTTCCCCAGCAAACTGAACCTTCCCGGGGTCTCATGTGTACTCCCGAGGACGGGGTCTCGTCTCTATCTGCAACCTTCGGTACCCGACAGGGCCGCGGGAGAGGGAGTGCATATTTACGGAGGGGACGGATGAATGGGCTTGTGCGGCCAGTTGGGAGAACAGAGCAGCCTGGCGCGGGTGGCACGGAGCCCCTCCTCACTGAGTCTCTCCTCTGCTCCGTGTTGGCGGCAGTGCCACCTCATTGGGTCACTGTAGGAATAACCACTCGATAACAGCAGCTTCTGCTTATTGAATGCTTATCCCAGACACTGGGCTGTGTTTTATATGAAACATAACCCCCACCCCCAGGGAGTTGATGTCAAGGGCCTAGCATGGTGCCCAGCACCCAGCAGGTGGAACTAATAGTCAGGAAAGGCATCGGAGGCCAGGCACAGGCCTGTAATCCCCGTGTCTTGGGAGGCTGAGGCAGGAGGACGGCAAGTTCAAAGCCAGCCTCAGCAAGTTAGCGAGGCCCTGTCTCAAAATCAAAAATATAAAAAGGGCTGGGGATGTGGCTCAGGGTGAAGGCCCTGGGTTCATTTGAGGGGAGAAGGCGTGTCGGCTGGTGGACCCCAGCCCCGCCACACCCCTCAGCTGGAGAGACGGGGACCCACCCAGGAAAGGGCCGCTGCCCATGAGGCTTTCTGACTCCCATCCAGTGGCCCTCGGGGGGCCACAGAGGGAGGAGCAGGTGGGGGCCGGTGGCCACAGAGTGCCCGCTCTGTCTCCCTCAGCATGTCCCCATGTCCCCCTTCAGCCAGTGTTTTCTGAGGGCCTCTTGTCATCCACGCCACCAGCCTGGGCTGGGCACTGGGATCCGGTGATAAACGTGCGTGGCCGCGGCCCTGGGGCTCACAGGAGGGCAGGAGAGACAGGCCAGCTGTCAGCTAAGGCAGAGTCCAAGGAAGGGGGCTGTGGCGTCCCTGGGGAGCAGCCGGCGCCTGGCCCACCCAAAGGGGCAGCAGGAAGGGAGGCTCAGGGGCCAAGGAGGAGCTCTGGGCACTGCGGGCCAAGGCTTGGAGGCGTGGCAGCCCCTGCCCATTCTGAGGACAGAAGGACAGGTCTGGCTGGAGGCTGGGCTGGAGAAGAGCGGGCCAGGTGGGCTGGGGGGGCTGAGGCTACTCACTGGCCCTGGCAGGAAGGGACTCGGGCGTCCCCTGATGAATCCCACATCTCCTGGAGGTGACAGGGAGCCAGGGAAGGGCTTTGAGCTGAAGAGTCCAAGGTCAGGTGCGAGGTCCCCATCGTCCCGCGGGCTCCGGGGGAGCGCTGTTGGAAGAGACAGGAGGCTGCAGGGACTCGGGCATCGCCCCATGCTGGGTGCCCAGACAGGGCCTGGACACTGAGGGGAGTCAGGGAGGCTGGGCGAGGCTGCTCTGAGAGGTGGTGAGCCCCATCCCCAGAGGAGCATCCGTCAGCCTGGGCTCTGGACTAGGGGACACCCGGGGTCCTGTGCCACCTTTCTCCTCCCCTCCCCCCACATTCTGAGGATGCCATGGTTCCAGGGCCCCTGCTTCACCCAGAACTCCTCCTCGTCCCAACAAGGCAGGACCAGGCCTTCCCCTTCCACGGGAAAGCCAAACGGGAGGACCCTGGAGACGCAGAGAGGGGCTCTTGAGCCTCCTCTTCCCATGAGGCATGTGGGGGCGGGGCAAGGAGTGCCAGGAGGTCCCCTCCCTGGAGCACCCCC